ATTGCTCAAGACATCAGTTCTTTCTGAGCATTCAGCTTTACAAAAATTGCCAAGGCAGGTTTTGATAGCAAGTGAGATTTCTTCACTCTCCAACATAGAGTTGCAAGTTAGTGATATCCTCTAATTTTCCATGAAGACTTAAATCTCTTCCGTTGTTGATGAAGTAGCAGTATTATGTAAGTATCTCACTGTAACACTTCTGATTGACATCAAGGTCCTTTCTTCAATTAGGACAGGCAGAGATGGTTTAAAAAAAAACAAGTTGTATTCTAGGTTTTTGTCAAAAAGAGCGTACTGCCAATGTACTACCCAACACTTTCTTTTCAAACGTATTTGACCACAAGTTAATTTAGTGTGACTTTCTGTATTGGCTGATAAATACTAGGATGCTCGTGTCTGGTTTGTTTTGCTTTGACATACCTAAAGCAGGAGATGGATCATAGAACCTGATAGTCTGTTCTAGATAGCATGGTTTAACGCTTGTGTTCAGGGATCATTTGCTGTAGTGCTAATAGCCACATTATCCTGTTGTCCTTTTTCAATATGTGCCCTGAAACATTTAGGCAAATAGTTGAGACTTTACTGTTTCGGTGTCCAGCTGGTTTGCTTCTAACCAAAGTTTTGAGGATGTTGCTGTGTCGGGATTATTCTGAAAGATCTCTAAAGAATTTTCTCTACTGTTCTTCGACTGCAAGAGGAAATTGCACTCCCTCCAACTTCATGAGACCTAATTACCATTTCCTTCAGAAGAACATCTGTAGGGCTGTGAATGAGCGAGCTATAACAAAACAAAAAACTTTTGTGATATTCTTCCGCCTCCCTGGTTCCTCATGTTCGGTTTCTATTGCAAAGCCCTACCTAGCCTTTCTTCATTTTAATATACTTCAAAGAAAACAACCCTTTTGAGCCTGCTGCCTATTAATAAAGCAGCCGAATTGGGTTATCTAACTTGCAACAGATGTATTCTCATAAAGGATTTGGTAGGTTTTCCCCTAATACAGGAAGAGCCACTGTGCCCCTGATTATTTGAGTCTCTGAACTGAAAAAAACGGGGAAACACAAATTGGGGGAGGAGTTAAATCTTTCTCCCACTCTCTTACACTTGGTTTAAAACCTGCCAGCCCCTCTGAGTAATTCATCAATTATATAAACATTGACCCTAGTTTTTGGACAGGGAAAGTATTAAATGCTTAGCTTAAAAAGTAAAAACAAAATCCCATACCCCACCAAAGAAGGACATCTCTTTCTAACTTCAGCTTTTTATTTTTTTATCTTTCATTTTTTTTGTTGGTAAATCTCCCAGACAACAGCAGTTCTGTAGAGAGTTTAAATATGAAGGAATGGCAGGACGGGCTAAGGGCACTTCTACCGAACATTAACATCAACTTTGGTGGACTGCCCAATGCTTCTTCCCCCTCCAACGCCAACCACAGTGTACCAACGTCCAACACTGCCACCACCGACAGCCTGAATTGGGACAGCCCTGGCAGCTGGATGGACCCCGCAATCATCACAGGTAACCGTTTCTCACTCCTTCAGCTCTGCTGGCAAACCATCAAATGGGTATTTGGCACAAACTGATTTACATCTGGAAAAAAAGAAAAAGTCAGTATGCGGTGGTCTCTTCCAGCTTCCATCCACAAAACCTCAAGGGTCCAGGAATTTTTGTGGAACCGCTAGGTGTAACAAAGCGTCACTTAGGCCTTTGCAATGCATGCCCGGGACCTTTGCAGGCAGTCAGGTGGATCAGTGCTTATTTATAGGGTCAATGTAGGTGTCCCTTCTGCTGGATGGCATGTCCGGTATGTGCGCCGCTGGTCCTGAGGCACTGAAGGCATTCACTGGACTTCTTTATTTAAAAAGGGACATACTCCACTTGTTTATAAAGCTCTCTTTTATAAGGCTGTCTGGTTGCGTTTCCCTGTTAGAGAGGCTGAAGCATGATTCAACTAGGCAGAGTAGGAGGTGAAGCACGCAGTGTACTGGTAGTTTGGTGTGGTAAGGTCACGTCAACAGGGATGCAGTCCTTGCGCAGGATGTTTGATAGAAAAATGTGTGTTTTATGAAGTAGTGCTCTGAGGAGGAACTTTCTCCTATCTGGATTTAATGTTAAATGTTTTGTGGGCAGGGTAATTATATATAATAATGTGAAATGCATTCTCTGTACAAACTAATCATGTTTTCTCACTGTTGCTTTTTGTTAGGTTAAATTGACCTCCTTCGTGCTCAGCTTATTGCTTCTGCTCTGACTTTTCTGTATCCCTGTTTTTTTATTCTCTTCGTAGGTATCCCAGCCTCCACAGGAAACAGTTTAGACACCCTTCAAGACGACAATCCTCCACATTGGCTAAAGTCTCTTCAGGCCCTCACAGAGGTGGACGGCCCCAGTGCAGCACCATCACAGACGCACCACAGTAACCCCTTCGGCACACAGATCCCTCTGCACAGAGCCAGTTGGAATCCCTACTCTCCTCCTTCAAACCCCACCAGCTTCCATTCCCCACCCCCAGGCTTTCAGACAGCCTTCAGACCCCCCAGTAAAACCCCCACAGATCTACTACAGAGCTCAGCACTGGATCGTCATTAGGAAAGGAGGAAAAAGAAAAAAAGAAAAATAAAACCCAAAACGTTAGAAATGCAGGAAGTGTCCCACCCTGACTCCTCCCCATGCCCACCTACTGTTCCCTGTCATATCTTTCTTTCTGAAGAATCCAGTTCCTGATCAAACCTCCCCCCCAAATGCAATGCCATCACAGGGTCATGACTGTATCTTTTCGTTAAGTTTCTGCTGAGCCAGTGTTTGAAATACACTGTTTGAAATATTTTCTAACCATTCTAAGAAAAAAAAAAAAGAGAGAGAGAAATCAAAATGCAGTCTCAATGCTTAAGGAGAATATTACTGTCTTATGTCTTTTGCACATGAGTATTTCTGCCTAGTGGAAAAGTGTCAATCTGCAGTAGGGCAAAAAAATGCAATGCAGAATCAAATGCAGAAACATGAAAAAGGTATTTAATTTAAATGAAGTTACCAAACATGTGGGGCAAGCAGTGGCCTAGCATTTATTTTGCATTCAGTGTGGCACTACACAGGGAAATTGCTATGTTTTGGGTTTTTTTTTGAGAAGGGGATTCTATTGTGTCAGAGTTTGACATGAAGTGTGTTGAAAGACAAAACACTTATAGCTATGAGTAACTGGCATGTTGCTAAAGAGTGGTTTAAAGAGGGGAGAATAAGATTTTTCTTTAATTTTGGCTTTAGATTTAAAGTAAACTTTAATGTTTTAAAAAGTATTCACGGATTTAATACCTAGTGTATACATAATATAATTATAAGCAGCTGAAACACGAGTGATATTTACTTCAGTCTTTGTCTCCTCTGTCAGTCTCTCTTTCTTTTTTTTTAAAAAAAAACAAAGATTCACCTGATTAGGGCACTCTGGGATAGCACTGCATTGGGGCCACATGATCACCATCAGGAGCAACCTCTGACCTCCTCTGCCTGCAGCTTTTACTTAACCCTGTAGTTTCTGGACGTTTGTGCAGTATTGAAAAGACAGGAAAAAAGAAACAGATAAATAAACATGGTTATAACCTGACGCTAAAACTAAAACCAAGGAAATGTACCTCTTTCTTCAGAATTAAAACTAAAATCTTAAATAAAACAGAAAACTTGATGATGACTCTGTGTTTGCTTTTCGTTTTTTTTAAACTTGGATTTTTAATTACTGCATCTGGTAAAACTGTATGTCATTGCATGTTTGATTTTTTTTTTTTTTTCCCCCTGTTCATCTAAACTGGAGTTACTTTTTCATGGAAATACAGCTTTGCATGGTGACTTCTGTCTTGAAGGGTGGAAAAAGCATACACACCTTAAAAATTTAAAGGGATTCTGTTGTCTTTACTCATGGCAATAGCTAGAGGCTGTCTGTCTCTAACCTTTATTGGTGGCAACCTTTTAAATCTGAAACATGAAAAACTTGTTTATACTTTCTGAATTAAATGCCATGGCACTTGGGATAGATAGCATGCAATAATGTGTCTGAAGGTGTGGCAGAGAATTCTAGTTGCAACTCCCTGTTTCCGTCAGCATCCTTGCTTAAAGGTATAAAATATTGTCACTGCACAACAGGGGATGGAGAGCTCTTAACATACAGAAGGCCTCCAACAAGCTCTTGTACTTCCAGCAAGAGATATTTAAAACCAGCAACCTTGCGATTGGGGTGCTGGATTGACATAGCTCATGAGGATAGCAGAGCGCCTGAAATTCTAGAGATGCCTGTGCAGAAGGATTTCTCACCTGGTGTGAGCTGTATTGTTCAGGCTGGCTGCCCTCCTAAAATGTTTGCTGCTGGCAGGGGCAAGGAAGGGAATTCACAGCGCTAAACTGTGGGCACCTAACGGGGGCGGGGGGCACTGGCCTTTCATGGTCCAGGGAGCGGGAGCAAGTCCTGAATCGATCGCTGGACAGGGGAACCAAGCACTGAATCTGCATCAAGTGACTCTAAATATCCTGCTTTGTAAAATATCACTTGTAGGCAATTGCCCGCTCTTGCTTTTCTTTTACCTGTGTTGCCATTTAGTTCTGTATTTACCGTCTGCATTAAGGAACTGCATGTACTGTTTCTGGACAGGCATCGTTGCTGCAGATCAGTTGTGTGCCCTGATTACTTGGGAGAATGTGCACAACCTTTGATGCCAGCGCTCCCTGCAAAGCAAACAATGTTTTTGTCACTCAATCAACCCCTGCACAATCCCCTGCTCTAACTGCTGGGGGTGGAAGGAGAAGCGCTGCCCACTGGGACTGCAGGCTGGGAACGTTCTCTCCTGTGGCAGTGCCTGCTGCTGCCCCTGGCACTGGAAGCAACCCAGTGGGAACGGTCTGCTGGAGGTGCTGGTGAAGATGCAATGGGCTTCTTGTTTTGTTTTGGGCTTTTTTCTTTTTTTCTTCCCCAGTTGTTAGAGGCAGACATTTTTCGACCTTTAACACTTCTCTTTTAGAAGGGTGCCTTTCCTGACCCTGAAAATGAGCAAGCCTCCCAAAGCAGCTGTAATTGCTTCCTATCGACCACAGCAATTCCTGAAGCTGCCGCGTTCTTTGGTTCTTGATTTGTCTCTGTTGCAATTTAGGATGCACTGAAGGAATACTATGCCTGTGGTCTGATACTACTAGAAAATAGGCTTCGGCTGCTCAGGAGAGCGCTTATTCCCTGCTGCCATACAAGAGCTTGTGTGGTCAGCTTACTGACTAAAATTAGCCTTAAGGAAAAGGTTAGCAACTGGAATGATTTTTTTTCTTTTTATGGTGCTTCCCCCCAACCCTGCCAAAGAAGGACTCCTTGTTGGGTAACGTTAGTGTTATAACATTAAAATAGATCCGTGTTCAGGTTGATTGGGGTGGGGGGCAGCTTCTGCCTCTTTTAGCCTAGCTTTATCTACTGTCTGATGCAGACACCTGCATCCCTCGCAGCCGAGAAGCAACCTGGCATTTCACTCTGTTCAACTGTGTGGAGCTCAGTTTCTCCTGAGGTTTTTGTTGTTGATGAACTCCTCCTGCGACAAGAAGTTCTGAACAGGAACCTTTATTGAAAGAAGAGCATCCATGTGTCTGCTTTGTCCATGTGATCATCTCAGTACATGGTCTGTTGTTGGTTTATATATTGTATGGACACTTGCAGCTCTTGCATTAAGCCAGGAATAGTGCTTGACTGAAAGGCTGGTGACCCAGGACTAGCAACACATTTGGTAGATGGTGTCTGGTGGAGATGAAATTGGAGAAAGAGGATGGACCAGACTCCTCCAAAATGGATATGAATGTGTGTTGAGGGAAGGAAGGGAGTTATTAGCCATGAACGTGTTTGTATAAGAAGTTGTGTTGCGTTTTCAATGAATTTTCAATTCAAGCATAGTAATTTGGGGGTCAGCAAGTGCTAGACTGATACTAAGGGTTCATGGCTGCTTTTTTTTTTTTTCTTTTTAATATCTAATAAGGGAATGATATTTCTCTGGAGTACAGCAAGGAGTATAATGTCACCTTCTAGGTAAGGTGAAGAGCCATTGCATAAATTCCTTTTCCTTCCTTCTATAACTTCCATTTCCTACTTGCAAGTCAAGTGTGAGCAGGTATGTGCCCTTGTAAATGCAGTGTCTTGACAGGGCTGCTCTAACCGTACTTAAAACACTATTGCCAATTTCCATGACAGTTTTTAATTGTGAAGTTGAGTTTGTATTCTGGTTCCTGAACTCTAAACTTTTGTTTTCCTTCTCCTCCATCATGGACTCTGTTGTCCAAAAAGTATTTTTCTGAGATGCTCGTTTAATCATAGGCATTCAAGATGTTGGATTTTGGGGAAAATGCAGCGTGTTTGGGTTTTCTTGTGGGGGGTGGTTTTCTTTTGGTTAGGGTTTTGTGGTGGTGGTTTTGGGTTATTTTGGGTTTGTGTTTTTGTTTGTTCTGGTTTGGTTTGGGTTTTTACAGCTCTCTAGAGCTGGCTATGCTGCTGTGGAGACTTTTGGCTTGAACGCCTTTTTTTCTTCTGGGGGCAAGAGGGGTCATGCACCGATTTCCTCCCTCACCCTTGCAAGGTGTAGAAAAATACACTTGAAAAGATTGTAGAGCAGTTACCTGGGTGCTTCTTGTTCATCCCTTTCCTCAGGATGCATGGAAATTGCCTTAAGTTGCAAAGGAGATTAGATTTGGTCTCCACCATACGTAAATCCAGTGAGTGGGATTGTATTGCCTGGGACTTATGCCCTCTGGGAAAAGCTGTAGTGCTGGAATGAAAACTGTTACCGCTCAGAACTGAGGTGTGTTGAGAAACACTGAGTAAGAGGTGGCACAGTGCTTGAAGGGTTAGGGGACTGGAGTTGTGTCACAAGCCCTACTTGAAGGGGTTGTAGGTACTCATTGAGAGGAATGAACTCTCCTGCAGTCCAGCTGCTAGTGATGTGAATTCTTTAGCACACATAAAGCAAAGAGTGCGAAGTGCTGTTTGTCGTGAATGCATGTCTGTTAAGAGTAGTTGTTGCTTTACATCTTCCAGCAATGTATGGCTATATGGCTAGCTATAGAAGTGCTTTCTGCTTCACTGATTTATTATCATGTGTTCGGGCTGAATGTGGATGTAGTGACTGTAAGAACTTGTGCTCCTTCCTCTTCTCCCAAGTCCCAGCATCTCTTTTTCCCTACTTTGGGACATTCCACTGATGAGAAACAGCTCTTAGGTCCTCTTCTGTTTATGGCTGTCACAAAGCTGCTAAAGAGGAAAAACGTGAAGTATCGTCGCAGCTTTGGGTTACAGTCTAAGAAATGGTGTAGCCTCAGTATGCTCTGATCTACATGCGAGAGCACTGTATATGGGCAAGATCTTCATCTTCCCTTCTTTCTAGGGTTTGCCTTTGCCCTAGGCTTACCGCTGATATGTTTATGTGGCAAAGTGAAGGCTCCTGAGATGGAAATGGCCAAATGAAATTCTTGCCGTACAAGTACAGGGAGCTAAAGCAACTTGCGGGGGTGCAGGAGTCTGAAATGCTGCACAGTGGAGGTTTGAGGTGAGTTGGGTGATGCTGGCAGCACCAGATTTGTTACCAGCTTTGCTGATGAAAAGCACTGGTTTAGGGTGGTCTGATGCAGTGATACTAGGTGTGGAAGTCATTTGAACAGAAGTGGTGTCACTGTAGAGGAAAACAGTATAGAAAAGTCCTTGTTAATCTAAAGCTGATGGGAGAATGATCTGCCTGACCTGTGGTGGTCAGGAGGAGCCCATCTCCTGCAACACTGATGTGGTGGAGTCTTTCAGTGGGATACAGTCATCGCACAGTTACTGTTGTTTTCTCCTCTGAA